CTTGCCAAGACAAGAGCTCAGAACGCCGGATTATACACATCACTTACAGTACCAGAGGCACCGTGTGTGGATGTCAGCTTGGATTCATGCTAGGATTTCCAAAGACTCAAAGGAATAAGGATTCCGTAATTGTTGTCCATACAGATTCTCCAAGACGACCGACTTTGTACCCTATCACCAGACACTAGAAGCCTCTCACATCGCTGATCTATACTTCAGGGAGATTTTAAGGCTACATGGGATTCCCAAAACCATCACCTCCGACAGAGGCATCAAATTCTTGAGCCACTTCTGGAGGACAACATGGGGAAATCTCAGCACCAAACTCCAATTCAGCTCGACAACACATCCACAAAGAGACGGACAAACAAAGGTAGTATATCAGAGCCTCGGTAATCTTCTGAGGTGTTTTGTGGGAAAAAAACATAAAACAGTGGGATCTCATCCTAGCGCAAGCTGAGTTCACGTATAACCGATCCATCAACCAAACTGCAAGACGAACTCCCTTTGAGATTGTGTACGGGCACAATCCGCTCACAACACTTGAATTGGTACGCCTCCTGCTAACTTCATAAATCAGCAAGGATGCTACCAAACGAGTTCACGAGATCCAAAAGCTCTACAAAGAAGTTGACAAGGAAATTGCTAAGCAGAATAAAAAATAGCAGGCAAATGCAAATAAATTTAGAAAGAAAGTAATGTTTCAGGAAGGCGCCCTTGTATGGATTTGATTGAAAAAGGAGAGATTTCTCATAGGATTATTCGAGAAGCTTAAGTCGAGAGCATATGAACCTTTCTGAGTACTTCGAAAGCCGAACGACAATGCTTATAAGATCGAGCCTGGGATTACAACATTTCAGTCACGTTTAAAGAGAGCATATGAACCTTTCTGATTTTGTTCTGTGTGCTGTGTTAAATTGCTAAAATTCTAAGCTTCCCTAAAGAGAATGACACAGGCACTTGGAACGGTGCTCGAATTCGAGTGCAGAACAACGCCCAAAGAGGGGCACATCAAAACTGCGGGGGCTGAAGCATCACAAATCTATGTGAAGCGGGTGGGGACCTTCGATCTCTCGAAGATGGGAAAATCCGCGTCAAGGGGATGGATCGCGAATTCTCGCGATCCAATTGAGCTATTTGCCATTTCCTCTCGTGTAGAAGTAGGAGGCTACAAATAGAGGGACTTTACATGTGATAACATTCCATCTTTCAAGAAACGGAGATATTATTACGTCTGTCGTCTGCGTCCGGACGACGGCCGTGATACAACGGTTTATGTTGTTTGCTTTCTCTGAGTGTATGGGAGGCAGTTCTACTAGAGTTGTCTTATAATCACTTGTTTGGAGTCTCTTCTCTTTTGTTAGGACTGTAACCGACGACAGGTGATGCTTCGGCAGCATCTTGCTTCGAGGTGGTGTCATAAACTTAAAACTCCTTCGCTACTACTTGCTGTCCCTACCACTCCCCTACTTGTGTACCACCCCCACATTACTCCACTCTGCCACCACCTCTATTTCCTCCACAATCTCGCCATCCAATCCACCTACAGCCAACCACACACAATCCCCTACATAAAGGTAACCAAGTACAGTAGATTGCATTACTTCAAATTTAACATTATAAAAATAGATGATAGATCAATATCAATCATACAACATAAGAATCTAACTCTTTGATGGCTAAAGGTAAAGGGACATTTACATGCACACCAACTAATTCCAATGTATTTACATATCTAACTCCTAAATTATTTCAACTTTTTAAAGGTTGAATATCCCGTTTTATTCATAGGTAAGGCTGTTAGATATGTACATACATAATAGAATTGATTGTTACGTATGTAATTCTGTAATTCATTTAAAACAAAATTCAAACCCGAGGAAGCAATCGATAAACTCCAAGTAGAATTTGTAAAGAAATACAACCTGAAATCAGTTTTTCAATAACTGAAACCTAAAGTTTTGGATGATGTAGGCATAATTTAAAAACCTATTCATTTGCTTGATTGTTAAATTCCTAGAATACCACCTCCGACAGAGACATCAAATTTCTGAGCCACTTATGGAGGACAACATGGGGAAAGCTCGGCACCAAACTCCAATTCAGCTCGACAACACATCCACAAAGAGATGAAAAAACAAAGGTAGTATATCAGAGCCTCGTTAATCTCCTGAGGTGTTTTGTGGGAAAAAACATAAAATAGTGTGATCTCATCCTAGCCCAAGCTGAGTTCACCTATAACCGATCCATCAACCAAACTGCAAGACGAACTCCCTTTGAGATTGTGTACGGGCACAATCCGCTCACAACACTTGAATTGGTATGCCTCATGCTAACTTCAGAAATCAGCAAGGATGCTACCAAAATTAGTTCACGAGATCCAGAAGCTCTACGAAGAAGTTGGCAAGGAAATTGCTAAGCAGAATTGAAAATAGCAGGCACATGCAAATAAATTTAGAAAGAACGTAATGTTTCAGGAATGCGCCCTTGTATGGATTTGATTGAAAAATGAGAGATTTCCAATAGGATTATGCAAGAAGCTTAAGCCGAAAGCATATGGACATTTCTGAGTACTTCGAAAGCCAAACGACAATGCTTATAAGATCGAGCCTGGGATTACAACATTTCAGTCACGTTTAAAGTCGCCGACTCAACACCATACTCTGATGAGCCTGGAGCTTTGACAAACGAAATCGAAGCTTCCCTAACCTTGAGAGAATGACGCGGACACTTGGAACCTACTCGAATTCGAGTGCAGAACAACGCCCACAGAGGGGCACTTCAAAACTGCGGGGGCTGAAGCGTTGCAAATCTATGTGAAGCGGGAGGGGACCTGCGATCTCTTGAAAGTGGGAAAATCCGCGGCAAGGGGATGGATCTCAAATTCTCGTGATCCAATTGAGCTATTTGCATCGGATCTTTTCAGGGAGGAGTGTTATGGATTTTTTGTCTTTTCCACCCATTTCCTCTCGTGTAGAAGTAGGAGGCTACAAATAGCTGTCCTCTGAGTGTGTGGGAGGCAGTTCTATTAGAGTTGTCTTATAATCTCTTGTTTGGAGTCTCTTCTATCTTGTTAGGGCTGTAACCGACGACAGGTGCTGCTTCGGCAGTATCTTGCTTCGAGATGGTGTGGTAAACTTAAAACTCCTTCGCTACTACTCGTTGTCCCTACCACTCCCCTACTTGTCTACCACCCCCACTTTCCTCCACTCTGCCAACACCTCTATTTCCTCCACAATCTCGCTATCCAATCCACCTACAGCCAACCACACACAATCCCCTACCTACCCAACGACTGCTTACCCCGCCGACGCCGCTACCGCCTTTGACTCTCTTCCTATAGCACTAGCCAGGGATTCATCTATTGTTGTATTTCATTTTTGTTTGAGTTGTGTTGTATTGCTACTTTTATATTAATAAAAGTTTACTTTTTTGTATTATGTCACATCCCAACTAGTTTCTGTATCATAATATTACTTGGGAAATGATACCAATAATTAGGAAAACTTGTTTTTTCTATGGAATGAATCCCATTGACACACTAACTTTATTGCGATATAACAACTAATGTTTGTTTTAAAATCTTTTATAGGTTTGATTTCATATTCCTTTGTGTTGCTTATTCATTGAATTACCCTAAAGTTTTGGATGATGTAGGCATAGTTTAAAAACCTATTCATTTGCTTGATTGTTAGATTCCTAGAATACCCTTTGCATAGGATGTTAGTGTTAATTCTTTTGAGTTGCCCCTTCAATAAATATTGCATGCATGCGTTGAGTGTGTGTGCTTTGAAGGGGTTTTACCAAAGGAGTTGACGCTTCCTTTTTCCTTCTATAATCTTCTTCAGTGCAATGCAATGCAATTACATTTTAAAACTTACGGGACTTGTTTTAGATGTGAATTAAAACAACTTTTTGTAAAACTTTTAGTATAGGGCGAGTCCTTTCATCTACATCATCATCAATCTTATTCAAATTACTTTGGGTTCGCTGGGAATTATCATTCTCTACTGATTCATGTTAATTCTAAGCTAGGCGTTGACTCTATTTTGCAAAACTTCTAGTCATGCTACTTTTGATTTTGCCCTTATCCTTCCTAATCGTTCCATTGTTAATTTTATTGTTTGTTTAATCTATTCTTCCGTTGCCCTTTCCTCTATATCTATTTTTCAATGCCTTATTTTAAGTAGGTGCTACTCTTATAAAATATATTCATTTCTCGAACTATTCTTTTTTGTTTTATGACAACTTCATCATGACATTCACATTTACATCACACTTAACTTGTTAGTTAGTTTTATTATTATTATTGTTACTATTATTTTAATGGCATGATACTTGGACAACATAGTGGGAGATTTAAAAAATTATGTCTTTTTCATATTTTCTCATTTCATAGAATTGTATTAACTTTAAATAGTTGTACTCTCATTTATTTTTCAATTGCTCTATTTTAATAAATTCAACATATATAAACCCATACATAGCTTAATTCTATTCCTATTAAAATTGCACATAATATGTGCAATCTTTATACTAACTTAGTCCCTTTATATATTTTATTTGCTCTGTTGTTCCAAGTTTATTACTTATTTTTGCAGAGGACAATATTGGCTTAATTATTGTAAAACGATTTTATAGTGATTTATGAGTTTCATGATGATCATTCGGGAGCCACCTATGGTTTTTGTGAAAATAGAACAAGTGCTGCTATTGGATTTTCAATGTTTGCAGTGTTGGATGGAAATATGTCTATGGTTTTTGTGAAAATAGAACAAGTGCTGCTTTCCTCATCTATGTTTTTTGCATTGTTTAGCATGCTTATCAAGGAAAACAACATTTTTATGAAAATTGATTTTGTTCTGTGTGCTGTGTTAAATTGCTAAAAATCTTTACTTGACAGTACTTCATCTCTTACATATTTTCTTCACGTTAAAATTCTTTTCCATCTTTCCATGTGCTTGGACATTGATATTTTTGTTATTTGGTACCTCTTTCAGGTAACTCAAGCAGACTTCAAGAAGGCAAAGGAGAAGGTTATGTTTAAGAAGAAAGAAGGTGTACCGGAGGGACTTTATATGTGATAACATTCCATCTTTCAAGAGACGGAGAGATTATTATGTCCGTACGACAGACGCCGAGCTGCGTCCGGGCGACGGCCGTGATACAACGGTTTATGTTGTTTGCTTTAATATGGGGAAATATTGTTTCTTGAATGGGCTTAGTTTTGTCAGTTTTCTGAGGACATTTTGTGTCTTACCTGCTAGGTTTATTGTGTCATAAAACATGTATTAATCTGTATTCCAAGGCTCTTTAATATAAGAAGCTCTTGCAAGAAATATATAAAGACAACAAGCATAATATAACAGAGAGTTTTCAACGTTCATATTTTA